AATTTCATTAAAACACGATCCTCATTATAACGACGAAAACATTAGTGTCAGGGCCAGTGCACTCAAGACCAATCTCCGGCATGACACATTTTTTATTTTGTTGATATTTTTGTCGTTATGGACAAATAACTTTTTTATTAATCGAATTGTTAGGTCATGCGTTAAAAACGGACACGGGTTTTTATTCAGTCGATCATTAAATTGGTTGTCCTGTTTTTTGAGCTCTTACCTTTTATAATTTATTTGTTGAAAATAATTTTTTATTGTCTGTTTAAAAAAAGCTACGAGTTGATAAATTATTCTGTTAGAAACTCAAATTATTATCTTCCATTAAAATGAGTTCTAATGCTTCTACAAAAATGAAAATGTGTTTGAAAGGATCATGATATTATTTTAACGTAGAATCTGTTGATGCATACGCTCCACCTGCTTAGTGGCGACGTCAACGGACGGCAGAGCTTTCACAATTTTCTACTAATTTCCATTTCATTAAAAAACATTTCGAACTATAGACTTGTGATAGAAGGCGTGAATGTTGAGCATTTTAACGCAAAGAAACGAGAAAATATTCTAATTCAAAACAGTCATAAAAATTTTAATTTCTGTTAAAGCAAGATGGTTCAATTGGTTTTATCAAAAAGTATATAAAATTTCGTTATAAACATCGCCATTGAATATCATCACACACGCACGTCACACGACAAATTCATCTCAAATTGCATAACCATAGTCAGCTTTTACACATTTTCAGCTCAATTATCTTAACCGATACAACTTTTTTCAAATCATAATGCTTGCCAGCTATCAACAATTTTTGTACGTTATTCTCGTGCGTTCTTATGTTGGAAAATAATTATGTTGTAATCAGTTGGACCGATACACACACGCTGAACTTTGAAACAAGCAATTAGACAGCCAGGTATTATATACATTTTTATTTGTTTCTCTCCCTATGGCCGGTAACATCCTTTGGTTTTCCTCTCCGAATTTTTAATTAATTTGTTTAAATATTTTCATCTAATCAAATATTCATGCACAGCTTTGTTTTTTATCTGTGATGTTATCATATATTGAAGATTGACGTCCAAAATGTTTCAACACCAAGCAATTATTCAACATTTTATTTATTTAATTATTGCACAACTGGCTGTTTGTTTGTCTTAATTGCTCCGTTCCTGCTAATTTCATTGCATATTAATGTGCTGAATTGTAATGTCAATTTTTAAAAAACATCCAAAAGATTGAAACATTTTGCCGCATCCAACGTGTTCTTGAGTTTTAGTAAGTTATGATGAGTCCATGAATTACTATCACTTCTTAATCGTCCTAAAGATAGGGAGGTTTTAGAATGTCGCCTCAATTATAAATCAACATAACCACCAAGCTGCAAATCAAAAGAGTCAGATTGAGCTGGGAGTATCATAAAATGCACCAAATGGATAAATTTACTTTGTATTTCCATGTCCCTTGTTTTATTTTTTTTTTTTGCAAAAAGTTTTGCTTTGGCTGAAAATAAATTAACAGCCGCTTGGCTAACATAAATTATTCTTGCTAATGCGATTGTCATCGATCTGAAGCATTAGAACGCCGTGAAATAACTTCAAGTCAGCTGCTAAATGGAATGCATGAAGGATGTGATGTAACTCCAAAATATGGTAACTTTATCGAATTATTTTGAAAACTTCCACCGTACAAGAATTGGTCGAAGTTAAACTTTGTAGGCTTTTAGATTTGTTTCCCTGGATGTTATTGTTTTGTGATTGTTGGTGCATAGTAATGAAGATTTCGTGCAGATGGTGCCGTTAATTTGTTTTCTAACGAAGGATGACTTTCAAACAAAAGAATATGCTGTTAATTATATACTCTATTGGACCAAATGACGAAGGATCAACTTAAGAAGAATAGAAACAAATCAGGCGTTTTGATAATCACACAATGTTAACGTTGTTCGGACAGATGTTCATAAACATTGTGAGTGTTGCAGATGTATTTGTTGCTGGAAATGTTGGTAATGTTCCTGATGTTGCTTAAAATGTTGGCTATGTTGCTGATGTTGATACCGTAATTGTTGTTTAAAATGTTGACTTTTTCATTTTTTTATTACTAATTAAACAGTTCATTGTTGTTTAAATATAAATTGATCAAAACAATATGGATGAGTCATTTCTCCTTTAATTAATTTTTAAACAAAACTAACATAACTTCTCTATACAACTACTCTACACACGTAAGTTGCTAACTAAACTTTTATCACCTATCATTATTATAATTATTATTTCGATATATAAATGAACCACTTCGAATTGTATAAGTGTAAGCCAAGCGAGTTTGAAGAAACAGAATGAAGTTTTCCAGGTTCGAATCTACTTTTCATTTCACATTTTCATTTCCATTTCACAGCAGGGCAGCGCGATCGACATCGTGTCGAAGTGTGACAGCGATCGAAGAACACACAACGACCGACCAACACGAAGACAATATAGTATGGTGAACAAACAAGCTAAGCTACATAACATTAGATAGATGTTTTTGACAGTTGGTTTGCGCTGATGTTGGCGCCTGTGTTCACTCATGGCGATAGCTCTAAATCAACTTCATCTATAAAGGCAAATTGTGTTAAAAAATTTAAAATAAATAATTTCATACACATTCAAATAATTTTTTCAAAAAAATCACTACCAAAATTGTTTATAATTTGAAAACTAACTGAAATATTGAACTTTGAACATTTAAAAACGCACCGTAAAAAAAAGCTGTCTGGATGACAAAAACGAACGTTAAAAATTCTGTCAAAAATGATTTGGTTTTACGAAGTGCAATGTTTCTCTAGCTCACATTACATCACAGAAGTGTGACAGGATGGCGGGGTTAGATGGGTTACACCAGCAATCTGCTAGAGAGTTTTTCATATGTTTGACTTTGTGCGAGCATTGCATGACCGGAATTTATTTGTCGGCTTTGTTTTAATTAAATTTTTGGCTTTGATTTTCCAACGTATATAGCCATAATCATTAATTTTGCAGCCCTGTTAATGGCTTGTAGGTTAGATTTTTTATTTTTCTTGTTTCGATTTTAAATGTTATCGCGATCTGTTTCGTCAATTTTTTGTTGTATTTGAAACTATTTGAAACCGCTTTTGTCGTAATCATGTCATCATTATTGTTGCAATCATATTATCATTTTTGTCATAATAAAGTTAACATCATTGTTGCGTGCTTTTTCTTTGCTTCATAGAAGATTCATGACATGACATTTCAACCTTTGGTTATTTATTTTTACGGTCAGTGTTACGTGCTGTGATCAATTTCAACTTCATTCATTTTTTTGAGAGCAATTCATTGAATAATTCATGAACAATAATTTACAAAACGTTATTGTTATCAATGCTTGAAAACTTTCGCAACATCGTCGTCGTTGTTTATCATTTTTAATTCTCAAACACCGTTTAAAATAAAAAAAATTGAAACGAAATTGTACGATAAATCGACACGTCAAAGTTGTCTATTACCTCATGTAAATTTTGTAAATCTTAATTTTCATTGGCTACATCATTCGAACGTTCAAATCTAATTTGCATTTGTTTGAAACGAAACTAGTTATCCATTCTGTCACCAATTGTTAAAATTATTATTAGATATTAATTGAGTTGGAAACGATTACATTAAATGTGTCAATCTTTAAACATGTGCGCAGAGTACTACATAGATCATACAATGAAAAATATTTATTTCAATATTTTCTTTTTAAAATTAAGTTGAACTAACTTGAAACATCAGCCTTCTTAATGGATGTTTTAAAAGACCGTACTCAATAGTTTAAAATCAAATAAAATAAGGCAAACAAGTGATCGACAAAAATTTTTTGTAAGGAAAAAATGGTTGGTTGGTCGGTCGGTCGGTTGGTGGTGTATAACTTTTGCAAAGATGGATGGAAGAATGAGTTGATAACGTTTCCCCGATATCAACATACAGCGAACATCTCATCTGATCAGTTAAACAGAACATAAACAAGCAGGATGTTTATAAAGGTTGCAACTATCGGTGTCATGGTAATGATGATGATGATGATGATGACGGTAATGATGATGTTAATGATGATGATGATGACGATGGGGATGATCTTGATGGTGGTGGTGATGATGACAAAGATGTTGGGAATGACAATGTGGATGATGACGATGATGGCGATAAAAAGAAAGGAATATAATTGTAATAAACAATAACCATGGTTATGAAAATTAGAAAATGGATAGACAACAGGACCGAATAAAGTTGTAACAAGTTGGTGGTTGGTGTGCTGTCTCGTCAGCCATGAATGAAATTAAGGTAAGGACGGCAATATGCACTTTGCGCACGTGCCGCTGAAATAAATAACGTCTGAAAGTGAAACTCAACTGTACAGAGCTCTGAAAAAAATGACTTATTATGCTAATTAGCTAATTAGATTTAATTTTAATTATATATGTAGACATGAAATGAGCAAATGATAATTTGCAGAACCATAATTTCAAACAATGTCGACCATATTTCTCCCACAGGTATTCTATTTTTTTCTATTTGCATGATCAATGTCATCATTGCTGGCCTGCTCTAAAACGAGTTTGCACTCGAAAACCAGTTTTTTGAGAGTTTAGACTTGAAAATGTAAAATTTTTTGACAGAATTTTCAAATTTTAGCTTTAAAAAGTGACAATTTTTTTTTAAATAATTCAAAGTCTCAAGCTTCAGTTAAATGAGATGCATTCAAAAACGAACGAATTGTTAAAGTCAGCAACCAACAAACAACCAACCAACCATACCGAACATTCAACATTATCAACAAGACAGCAAAATATTGAACAAGCAAAAAACACAAACATAAAAATGGAAACGCCTTTACAAACCGTACCGACCGACCAACTGAACACTGACAAACAGACACCTAACATCGAGTAACAAAACAAATGAAATCAATCAACAAACGAACAAAGTTGCAAACAAAACAGAGGCACATGAGCAAACTTTGAATGTCCGAGACCACCTTCCAGAGATGAGTAGCAGTAGAAGTAGATGGCATAGGGCAGGTAGGAGACCATGGTCATGAAGTCGTAGCAGGCAATGACGGTCAGCAGGGTGTTGGTCGGTGTGGTCATCTTGGGGCGTGTGAGGACGAGAATGTTGATGATGTTGCTACTGATGCCAAATATGCAGACGATGATGCTCAGGTAGCCGTGAATGTTCTGGTACCACTTGTTGAATCGCACCAGCTGAGATGGTGGTGATGTGGGTGATGACGTTGGCGATAGTGGTGAAGTTGGGGATGGTGAGGATGATGTCGATGTAGATATAAATGATAATGACATAGGTGACGATCTATGCGACACTGATTTTGACATTGCCAATTTTAATGATGATTCTGAAGAAAGTGCTGATGATGAAGGTGATGGTGTTGGCGGGAAAACAGAATGAAATGATGGTGATGGTGACAGTGACAAAGATGACGACGACAATGATAATAAAAATGATGACAAAGCTGCTGATGATGATGACGATGATGTTGAAATTGATGGTAGTGGTAGTGACGTCATTGTTGTTGTTGGGTTGTGTGTTTCTGCCAGTGGCGAAGCTGAGGAAAAATTGAT